GCGAATTTCCTATACAAATTCTAACAAACAGCCCACAATCAAACGAAAAGTGACATTCGAATTAAGGATTATTTCCCCATAAAATTACATTCAAAAGGTGTCTAAAGACTTATTCTTTCCTATACCGAGGGTAACTGAACACCAATATAATCGTAGAGCAAACGTAAGCGAAAAAACATCAAATTTTGGGGTGATTTGTATAGGGAAAAGTTGGAAATATGATACGCGCAATACGATATGACTTTTTGTTAACGCAAAGTTTGATATGTATGTTGTAAGCACTATTCTTCATAATGTAAGTAAATTCAATGAATAAATTTATAACAAATTTCGATGTCTTTAAAAAAATTTCGTCAAAAATTTTGATTGTATGCGTTGAAATTCGAAATTTGCGCAAATGTACTGAGCATGAAGTATGATATGACCGGAAAATAATCATGAGATTCAGGTAATAAAAATATAAAAATCATGAGATTCAGGTAATTTATAGTTTATATTTATAAAAATTTTGGAAAATTTTTGGAATTTAGAAAAATATTTTGAAGAAATGGCGAAAATTTAAGATATGCGGAAAAATTTTTGACTTCACGGAAAATTTTGGTATGTCCGGAAAAATTTTTTGACCCATAACATGGTACACTGACCGAAATTTTTTTGGCGACGGGGGGGGGGGTTGGAGGTCGCCCAAAAATTTCCATTGAAAAAAAATTTTTCGGTAGATTTTGAAGTTTTGCTCTATAGAGGTGCCCTTGGTGTGCGTCCGCCCCCCTTTGCCTTATTATCGTTCCGGCGTCCCTGAGTACTGGTTACCAATGACAAGTATAATATTATTGATATGCCAATCTGGCTGCACTAGGCACTGTGTATATCGATAAATTTCCAGTGCAAGTTGTAGAACAATAAATTTGAGTGGCGTAGCAAGATCTTTTCGGCCGACCAACACAACCGATCAATTACCGATCATTTCCAATTACTTTACCGACAAGTAACTTTTTTTCTTGCATAATACCCGTTTTACTGACGAGTTTTCTAAACACACACACCGGCCCCCAGCTTGATACGCCCCTGGTTGTATATAAACTTGTACGTGACTGGTTGTATATAAACTTTTAATCACTTTTTAATAACTTTTTTGTGATTAAATAGTGATTAACTCTGTTAATCACTATTAACTTTCAGAAATTCTGATTGGTTAACTAAACGCACTTCATTAATCCATTATAGACATAGTTAAATTTGATCACTTTTTTATACAATCAGCCCCTGGTTAATTTTCAAGACCACAAGTCAAGTCACAAAAATTGCGACTTGAGTCTAATTCAGATAACTATGTTTCCAATTACAAAAAAAAATCCATTTCATTTCAAACATTAATAATTCCATGAAAGTGAAAATATGTAATTTCCATGAATGTTTATAAACCTTGCAATATCGGGTTTACAATGATTCGTTCTGATTATTTACATATAGATTATCACAGTGCAAAAACGTTTTGGAATCTCAAACAATTAAGAAGATGCGGGGTAAATTTCAATTATGCAGTTTGGTTGCGAGTTTGGTCTTGTACATCGTTGACCTGGGAACCGATGTTTACGTCGCGATTCAACACAAAAAAAATGGTGACATATGGTATTTTAGGCTCACAGCCTGTTTTGTTGGTACATCTATCATCGTTGTGAATATTTTTGCAACGATTGCTTTGAAAGCACCTTGGTACATACGAACATTGGCGTGTCTCACTCATTCCTCCATGATCCTTCTGTTTATTAGCGAAATCCGGCGTTGGAAGAAAGAAGGTTGTGTAAGTAATACTCATCGTTGCAAAAGTGGAAAACATTTTTCTGAATGTGACTGCACTGGCTGCGATTTACAACTCAAGAAGAGTGTTAAGGCTTCTCTGAATATGTCACACGTTCGTTCTCTGGAAACATTTATAGAAGCGGTGCCACAATGGCTTCTTCAGGTATACATAATGGTTTATGAACAGTCCTTTCCTTGGTACACGATCGTTTCAGTTGCAGTTTCATTTATATCTTTGGTTTTCAGCATTTTTGCGCTGGAGAAAAATTATTGGATCCTGAAAATTGTTCAAGGTGGCCAACACTACATTCGGCCAGTAAGCTTTCCAAAAAGTTCAGCAGTTATTTTTTTCTTTTGGCAAACGTTTCTTCTATTTGGCAGACTCTCGGCAATGATCTTAAACACAATTGTAGTTGAATACTTGATTTTTTCCATTATCGGTGCTCACTGGATGGTTGTAGTTTTTGCTTTAATAGGCTCTGTAAAAACTGCTTGTGTTGAGGGTGGACATGATGGTTTTACCTGTCGCAGATACCTAATCATATCTTTTTTGTCTCTTTTTATAATTTATCCGTTGCTCTTTCATGTTTCCCACTCGTCTGTCGCTTGTATGAAAAAAGTTTTACCGGATAAAAATCTCGTAGCGACAAAATTCGAAGGTATTATGGCAGTAATAATACCGATTCTTTTCTTGGGATCTTTTTGCTTCGGTTGTGTTAATGCGATCAAGTATAACTGGAAAGATGAATTACTTGTATGGTATGTAGCAGTTGGATCTTTGTATGTTCTTGCATTCGTCTTTGAGGTCATGTTTTACTCGTGTTATCATCCACTTAAGGTAACGTACAGAAATTGGCAGAAATTAAAAGATCAAGCAGACGTTATAAACGTGGAACAATGGACATTTAATGAAACAAATGCTAATACAAAAGTAAATTGAAGCAACAGGAAAATGATATCTACAACTTGGCAAACCATGATCAGATTAACTTTTCATCAATGGGGACTCCATTTTGAATCTTGATGCATTCATGGACATTCCGTACAGTAAAAACCCGCATATAAGAACCTAGAATTTAAATACCTGTTTATTTAGACCCCCGTCAAAATTAAATCATAAGTTACAATCAGTGTAGCTTTAATGGATCTATTCCCTAATAAACAAAATTTTGATCTAGAGAAGTCTAGACAAATATTTCACCACAGCTTGAAAGAGCACCACAAAATTAATAATATTCCGAATTACATAAGAACCTGTTTAGGCTAACTTAGAAAATCTAGGTTCTTATATGCGGAGTTTTACTGTATCAAGTGTATGCTATTGTCGTAGATATATTCTTGATAAAAAGATGAAGTATAGCTCAAAATTTTGGGGAACTCTGCATGTATTATTTTCCACGTATAGCTCTGAGGAAGTTGAAAATTATACTGTTTGTTCCCTTCAATTTATTATGTCCAAAGACTTATCTGTTATTTGCAACCAGAAACAATTCATCTAGGCCTATGTATTTGAACTTACAAAAACGTCGTGAAAGAGGTAACATGGAATCTGAAATTTTCTAAATTTTTTAATGGGATATATGGATACAAGTAGTAGGATTTTGTAAATCAGTGGGTACGAATGGCCAGGAGTCAGAAAAAACGTGGCTGGGAAAATTTAATCGAAACAACGCCCTGCTCCGTTTTGGACTTTGTGAACGCTAAAGACCACAATGTCTTGCAATTTCAACACGAGGACGCTATCGAAGAAGAGTCAATTGCATAATGACGTAAATGTACATAGTTAAGTTTATCTAGTGAGAAAAATTAACTCTGAAACTGTGAAGCAAGTTATTTTGTATTTTTCGATGTTTGTCTAGTGACTAATTCAATTTTAAAATGGAAAATGTTTGTTTGATGTGTAAATGACTGGTTTAGTGACCAACTAGGCTAAAGATATCGCATGTCCTGACAATACAAACTCGTTCCCAGGCTCTTACCTCTTTGAAGGAAAGATCCTGGCACAGAATAGGAAGGTACAGCACTACAGCAGAAGTGTAACTTGAGTCGGTTCCCTTATAACCTGAAGTTCAGGCCCTAATCACAGAAAGTTCCTTTATTGTTTTTAATACGTCCACGGAAATTTTAACTCGCCCACGCCATCCTGGCTAGTACAACCGGAAGTTTTTATCAGGTTTTGGTAGGTACAAGTGCCGGTTGTACTAGCCAGGATGGCGTGACTGATGACGAATTGCTTGTAAAAACGCGGACAAATACTTGCTTGAGTTGCACTTCTGCTGTACTTTTCTATTCTGTGATCCTGGTAGGAGCTGGTCACGTGATCTTCTAAATACCAGATTTCTATCTTGGATTCCTTTAAAATCAAATCAAACTTGCAAAACAAAATGCAAATTATAAATTAAAGTATAAATATAAAATATTTATCAAGATCATCATCAACTAAAAATTTAGATCACGTGACCAGCTCCTACCAGGATCTTTCCTCCAGAAGAGGAAAGGGCCTGGGAACGAGGTTGCTGACAACAAAGACTCAAAGCCTTACAGGTAAACTACGTCAACTGTTCCTCTTTTGAGTTCCTAACTTGATTTAAAAACCTCTTTTGCAAATCCCACTTTGAGGGAATTTGCAATGTTCCTAAAAGGCCCTAAAAGCCAATAAATTTTTCTCAATTCCGATCTTGTTAGAAGTTCTTAACTTCCTGTTACAATTTCTGTATATGTGTGCTGCTGTGGTAGCTTGTGAAATATATGATTTTGGTGTAGATGCGTATCAAGCCTATCAACTCAGAAAACTTCTGAGCCCTAACGGGAATTGAACCACGTCACCTTCTGTATATGATTCTTCAGTAATAAAAAACATCAACAAGACATGACGCGACTTGCAGTTAGCAATACACGTGTAACACACAGAACTAGTAAATTAAGTAACCTTGGCTCACCATCTGAGGCCTTACAGCTCAATGGTTAGAGCGTCTGTCCGGTTATCGGAAGGTTACGTGGTTCAATTCCGGCCGTTAGGGCTCAGAACCTTTCTGAGTGTTGGCTTAATAGCATCTACACCAAAATTCCTGTTACAACGTACAAGTTCCTAATTTCCGTTCCGTGCGTTGTAATTGGCTAACAAACTGAATAATCCACCAATAACAACTCGGAACAGAACAGAACAAAACAGAACAGAACAGAACAGAACAGAACAGAACAGAACAGAACAGAACAGAACAAAACAGAACAGAAAGTCAGGAAGTTAAAATTAAATTAAAACAGAATGTTTTACCTGTAAATTTCTGTCCAAGTAGTCAATCCGCAATCACAGGAATTTGAAAAAAAATTATAGCAGAATACATGCTTCCAGAAAGTACGTCACCCAAATTACAGAGCCTCGTTTTCGCGATTGAGACGTTAGCCTTAATTTAACTGATGTCCCATATACGAAAACGATCGAGGTTGCACAGCCAAAGTGACTTTCCTGAAGTGTGTATTGGTTGCAAATTTGACCATGACAATTCATTCATAATCTTCACAATAACTCCCGCCGGACATCACTAGAACATCAAATTATTTTTACCATTTTTTAGTAACGTCACTCACCAGCAGCCTAGTCCCTAGGCCTCTTAGTACGCCTATTTCGCGTTCCTGCATATAAATGAGGTTTAATGAGTTGACGTTTCGCTTGGTGACGCACGGAAATCAAAAGCGTGCACAGAGGACTGGGACTAGTCTGAGTCACCACAGAAAACCTGGTAATGATTTTGATTGGCTGAGAGCTGTAATTATGCATAAATTGTGAGATTATGTACTAGTTAAAACATGAGCAGCCGATCCTGAATGATCCTGACTCGTCCCCAGTCGTCTCTGTGTTTCAAGCGCGGGCGGAAGAAAAGGTATGCGCAAGAATGCGCAAGGTTTTTTAAGCGCGGGCGGAAGCAGACAAGATGGCGGGCCCCAGTGGCGAAGCCAGCGGTCATGCAGGTCATGCAGTGCATGACTAAAAATTTCCCCAAAAATGTTTAAAAATCAGTTCAGTATAATTGTTTACAATAGAATTATACTTTATCTTTGCACTTCTACGCCTAAGTATTTTATTTATTATTTTGTTTACCCAAATCAATGGTCTTTAGGCGATATTCTTGCTAAATATTCTCGTATGTTATTGATTTTGGTTTTGTTACCTTGGCAACTGAGCGGTCCTAGCTGCATATTTTCACATGCATGACCGGTTGCGTAAGCGCGTGGAAAAAGATTGCGTGTGATTGCTGCGTGGTTTGCTCGCTGTGTGTTTTGGTCATGCACTTTCAGAATTTCATGACTAGCTGTATTATTTTATATTAGGTTTGTTGGTTTCTGATTGGCTTAGGACGTTCGCGCACGCGCAATGCGGCTGTTTTTGACGCCTTGGTCATGCAATTTTCGATTTGCATGACTAGTCACTAAAGGTCTAAACGGGCAACACAACCTGATCACAGCGTCTTAGCTCGAAGCTTTTAGCCTGAATGAACACGTCTTCAGCTCATTCAAGCATGTCGACTTCTTCTTTACTCGAAGCTAACGATATTGTTTGGGAATTGGTGAAAAAACCATTTTCTGCTGAGCAGAATATTATTGTTTATAAGCAGAGACAAACGCCAGATCTTTCGACATGCCCGATCGGAAGGTTTTCAAATGTCGTGGTATTCAAAGAAACTAATGGCTTAGCCAGTCAGGCTTAGGCTAAATAAGCTATTGCCTATTGGTATTTAGTTATTGTTACATGTATTTTGTCTTGAATATTTAAGCCTTCAACCCGAGCATAGGCGTATAAAGCATCGAACGCTATATACTATATGAAATACAATGTCAATGTCGAGGTCAATGTAGTAAACAATGTAGTTCTATAAATAGCGCTGCAAAGCTTATACATTTCAACACGCAACACAAACATTTTAGCGATTGTGATTTAGCAACATATTTGATATATACTTGTTTGTGAAACAAACAAAGAAATTTCAGTATATATTGTTAAATTGTATTTACCATTTGGTACTGTACATACTCCCCGTGCGTTCGAAAATATCCAATATTGGCAATAGCCGCAATAGCCAATAATCGATATGAATACAGAATTTGGCTATAAAACTGACAGTAAAACTTCTACTCAAACATCTGATAATGCTTAATTCATTTCTGTATGTAATATTGTAATAATTGGCGATTGATTTTAAATTAAGGAAATTGATCAAGGCTCATGCGTTATATTTTCCAAGTCCTGCATATATACCTATATTACATACATACATACATACATGACTTTATTTAGAACACGGAGAACCATCAGTACATTTTATGAAAATTATCTATTTACAAATAAAAGCAATTAATATAAGTTAGAAAGAAGACAAGATTGAAGGGAAGAAGGAAAGGAGGAGAGGTACTGTTCTACCTGGTTGCCGTGTGGGAGTCGGTAGGACTGGAAGAATATAGGGATTCCAGACTTCCTTTAAACGAGGAGAGGGATGATGATAATCTAAGAGATTCAGGCAAGCAGTTCCATAGTGATGCTCCACTATAACTGAAGGAGCGCTTAAGATAATCAGTATTGGGCTTAGGAATAAACAACTTGCCATTAGAATTTCTTAGTAAATATTGATAATTTCTGGATGAAAACAATTCTTGTAAGTACTGGGGAGATTGACCATTAAGAGTTTTAAACATAACAACAGCTTTTTGCTTTTGACGGTTAACCAACAAAGTGTTCCACTGCAGCTGATCTAGAAGTTGACTAGATGAAATATCGTAAGAAGAACGGGTAATAACACGAGCTGCTCTGTTTTGAAGTTTTTGAAGCCTATCACTTAGAGTTACTCCAAGGCCGTCCCATACTGGAGCACAATAGGAAAAGTATGGTTCAATAAAACCTTTATAGGCTTTAATAGCAGTTTCTTGGTCAATCAGCCCGCGCACCCGTTTTAAAGCTCCAATACCAGAAGAGATCTTTTTAGTGATGACGTCAACATGGTTTCTCCAAGTAAGGTTTTCATCCAAGGTTAGCCCTAGGGTTTTAGTTGAACTAACTTGCCTCACTGGCACATTGTCGACCGAGACACTTGGCTCGTAATTATTAAAAGTTGCTAAACGCTGACGTGAACCAATGATCATGAATTCAGTTTTAGCAATATTCAAGCTTAATTTGTTGGCTATTAACCATCTGTTTAGGTTAATCAGACTAGAATTCATCATAAATTCAAGGTGAGATAAATTATCACTACTAAAATTTAGGTTGGTATCGTCAGCAAACATCCTTGCGAAACCCTCATTCAGGCAGTTTGGGAGATCGTTGATATAAACCAAGAATAGCAGAGGCCCGATTATTGAACCCTGAGGAACTCCTCTGGATGTAGAAGAGATACCAGAAACTGACCGTTAACAAAACACTTTTGCCTACGATCAGTTAAATAGGATCTAAACCAAGATTGTGCCAAGTCATCCACACCATATGCTTTCAACTTTGAAAGTAAAATGTTATAGTCAATAGTGTCAAAGGCCTTCTTCAGGTCAATGAAGACTACGCCGTTTAAAAGACCTCTATCGATATTGACACACCAGTTATTAGTTGCTTCTAGTAAAAAAGTGAGGGTGCTGTAATTAGACCTAAAGCCAGATTGATAAGGATTGATAAGCTGATTATCAGTTAAATATGCATAAAATTGGTCATAAACGGGCCTTCCAAAACTTTTAGCAATTGCAGATATGACTGAAATAGGTCGATAGTTGCCGAGATCACCTTTATCCCCATTTTTAAAGATAGGTAAAACTCTAGCCATCTTCCAATCATCCGGATAAATTCCCATGGAAATTGAGCGATTAAAAATGGCCGTGAGTGATGGAGACAAAATCTCGGCAGCTATTTTCAAGACCTTACAAGGAACATTATCAGGACCAGTTGCCTTATTAGGATTAATGGATTTCAGAGTTTTGATTACAGTCTCAACATTTATTTCAGCAAACGAAAATGAGCTATTGACTGGGTTTATATAAGAAATAGGATTTACATCTGAGCTAGGTAGATTGTTGGCAAGGTTATCGCCTATCGTAGTAAAGTAGGTATTGAAAGCATTTGCTATATCAGCTGAATTCGTGATCTCTGCTCCGTCATGTTTTATAGTTTTCACATTTGTGGTTGCATTGGCTTTGCGTGAAGAAAGTTCATTAATAAGTCGCCACGTTTTCTTTGGATCATTTTTGGCTGTATTAATCCGCGTCATGAAGTAATCTCGCTCCGACTTTTTAATAAGCTTATTAGCTTCATTGCGAGCTTTTTTATATCGAGACCAAATTTGATCGTTAGGATTTTTATCAAAACTTTTTTGAGAGAGTCTCTTTCGCGTAATTTATGAATTAGCAATGAGTTAATCCACGGAGATTTTTTACATTTAAGCCTTTTGGTTAAAACAGGAGCATGAATGTCCAAAATATCTGAAAATTTGGTGAACCAGGATGTCCACATATCATTAGGATTGTTTTGTGAGTTTATATCGGACCAATTTATTTGTCGGATATCATTTAAAAATTCCTATTCATTAAAATTTTTCATTTGTCTCCTAGTGACTGGATAATTTGTATCGATAACTTGATGATTTGATTTACGAATCAAATAGATCAAGGAATGGTCACTAATACCCAATGAATGTGTTCCAGACACTGTTACTTTGTCAGGATAGTTTGTAAAACAGAGATCGATGAGTGATTTAGAAGTGTTAGTGATTCTAGTAGGCTGTGATATAATCTGGGAAAGGTTGTAGATATTAGAAATATTGAGGAGTTCACTCGTATTGCTGTCAGGCCTCTCTGATAATAAATCACAATTAAAATCTCCTAATAAATAAAATTCCGTGTTATCAACATCGATCTTATCAATTACATTGTGGAATGCAGAAAGAACAGACATTGGAGAACTAGGAGGTCTATACCAAGTCACTACCAAAAACGGCCTTGAGTGAGGTTTACAAATTTCAATAGCAAGGAGTTCCAGGTTTTCACCAGATAGATCTTCTCGAAGTCTGAAATTTAAATTAGTTTTAATAGAAATACAAACTCCACCACCATGACGGCCATTGTGGGGACGGTCTCTTTTAACAATATCATATCCTGATATGTGAATCTGACTCAGAACGTGCAAAACTCATGCGTAAGACAGCTTTTCTGCGCGTTCCTGTTCGAAGGCCTTGCTACTGAATGATATTTCAAAACTGGAATGTTAAACTTTCAATACATTACACTGCGCGAAGTTTAATACCTGGACTGCTACTTTAATTTAACAATTGTCTATTTTTCTGGCCAATTTTTATTAGTCGCGTGATCGCTCTGATCGCCCCTAGATCCGCCCCTGGTCTTCTTGAGGGGGAGTGGGACTTAGCCCATTTCAAATGTATTAAACCATTTACACAAATACTATGTTAGTGATATGCAATATTTTGTCAACCAACAGAACTAAACGAAATAGCTAATTATGGGATTGTTACTTCCCTACTAGCTCATATAATATGAATAAAAATGAGTACTCCCATTCGGTTTTTACTATACTGGATAAGTCGTCAACCAATGTGTTTTATTCTTAGATATCAACGAATGTTCTCTGTCGATGGACAACTGTCATACTAACGCTTCTTGTACCAACATTGGCGGATCTTTTGTCTGCACGTGTGACAGTGGATATACTGGAAATGGAACTGTTTGCGTAGGTAATTATGCAATTCTCATCTTTTCACATCAATTCAATTAGAATGATCGAGTAAAAAGAAATGTCGAGTAAAATAAATAAATAAAAACGTATGCTACGAAGGTAATATATAAAAGTATTATTTGCTACGTTTGTAAAGTGTTAATTATCACTTATTTACTGAGACCGAGGGAAACAGTGTGTTTTGTGGACCCGAGACCATCGAGCGAAGCCGTGGGAAACATCGACGGTCGAGGGTCCACAAAACACACTGCTTTCCCGAGGTCTCAGTAAATAAGTGTTTTATTATATATCAATAGTCAAAGAAACAACAAATTAAAGAACAAATGAACGTAAATACATGAAATATTTTATTGTTAAAACGTTATATTAAACACTGGCTATATTACACTGCAGTTACTTAAAGCGAAAGTTTTAATTACGTACTAGGCATGTCCAAAGGTCGCATCTTCACGTGATGGCGCACGTGATTTTTTTTGTTATTCGCCGGTCGATAACTTATTATCTCCCTCTCGCGCTGTTGCGAGGGAGACAGCCTAATTTCGTCACTCTCACGTGATATGCTCTCAACCAATAAAACACTAGAAAAATGCGACTTTGACTATTGATATATAATAATGCCATTTATCTGTTATAAATATCTGGAAATCGATGAATGTTCTCTATCTCTTGACGACTGTCACCCAAATTAAAACTGCACCAATATTGATGGATCTTTCCTGTGCACTTGTGATAGTATATTTGAAGAAAACGAAATTCTTTGTCATGATAAATAGGAATATTTTTTCATCAGTCAGAATGAACAATCTGATTGGCTGAGGAACCTTTTAGAGCGGGCCAATATTTTGCATCCGGCTCGCTCTGAAATGCAAATGCCCGCTCTGGTTTTCGGGGCAAAAATTAGCTGTGAAGCAAATTTTAAACGAAGAATAGGCCTACTCTGGGGCGGTAAATCGCCTTAAGTCGCCCAAAATCGCATTAAATCGCAGAAAATGACTTTGCACCACCCCAGGTAAATTGCTGATTATGCACAAAATAACTAATATGCCTGGTAGAAATTAAATTTTCTTATTTCCTAAAAAAAATTATTATGAGATGAAAAACTATGCTTAGTTCAATATAATTATTGTGGATTCATAAGGATTGTCATTGTCTTCTTTTAGTATAACACATTTTATTTTATTACGCCCCCCCCCCCGAAAACACGATTTCAGCCATACTTTGCCATCTTGTTTGCTTTTTTATGGCCGAGTCTCGCAAATATTATCCAGTTGTTGTACTTTTACATAAAATCATAAAGGGCTAAGAATATTTCAACCAAGTTTCATCAAGTTGTAAGACAGTGCAGTGTATTTTACCATCGATATTGTGTCCTTCTATATTTCGTCAAATTGCCGCCCATTTTAATGGCTCGCCGCTTCTCTGTCCAATAAATGCCACTTCTTCGTTTTCATATGCATTTAGATTACAGTATCCAAGACTCAAGAGTCTTCATTGTAGAATAGTCCCAATCGAAAATTGACAATATTTGTCCCATTTGGAAGGAAAAACCCTTCCGTATATACCATTTAGGTTCAAAATAAAAAACAAATCATTTGAAAGTCACGCGCAATCTTAAAAACATATTTTTTTAAAAACAAGCAGTAATGCGCTCTCTACGTTTAGCTATTAAAAGAAACAATGACTTTGCAAAGCCGTCAACTATATACAAGATAGAGAACAAGACGCCGAAATTCGAAAAAAGATTGTTCGCTCGCGTTAATCGCTTTGATCATGCAGCCAATCAAAACTCGAGACAAAATCTTCCTAAAATTGTTTTAAATAAAAGTGCAAGGTCAATGAACAAATATTCAAACAGTACAAAACTGAAACAACTGACAAAAGCCCGACACAACTCACAAATAATCAGATATGAAATCTTGTAACACCCGTTCGCAATTACTCGGGTTGTACCAAACCACCTCATTGTTCAACCTCGTTCCCAGGCTCTTTGCTCTTGGGAAGCAAAGACCCTGGCTGGGGCTGGTCACGTGGCACGCAGATTCTGCGTGCTAAAATAAATTGTGTCTATGGGTAGGGTGGTAGAGGAGTGGTTTGTCGTGTTTGGAAAATTGCAACTTATGTGTTCTAGTTTCTGGTGATAAAAATGTAATTTGCAACAAGAAATCGTGAAATAAACTGTTTACTAAAAATTCTATTTATCATGACACGACTTCCTGCTATATCAATGTCATCAATAATGAGTGTTGAGTTACATTTCAAACAAGAAGCTGAATCATATTTCAATTGCAAGGAAAGAACACCACACGCTACCTACAGCTTGCGAAGTTGAGCACGCTTCATCGTAGAAGCTACTTTAATATCTTCCACACCGACCGACCGATCAAACGAACGATCTGGCCGTTAAATTAAAGTGTATCCTGTCCGATATTCAAACGGATTTTTTTTATAACGTGATCTTTTGGTTTCCGAAACATCGCCAACTGTTTGTAAATAATGCTACTGTATCTTGACTTGTGATAGCACAGGATTAAAACCCGTGTTCTTATGGACTATAAAATTCCTTGCATTGACATTGCTCTCTGGACATTGCTGAAACTCAACGAGCAAGACTTATTTCGAAGTATAGCTATCTGTTTTCACCAGTGAACTCTATTGGTTATCTTATGAACGCCATTCGTTTACGCCAAGACTTCTCCGTGCGTGCTATGGCTATGCGGTACAACGATAATATACAATACGATACATACAGTTAAACATCAGACACAAGTATTTTATTTTATTTTATAGTATATTTAATATATCATGTTTTACGTGCAGCAATCTTAGCAGGCACATTATAAATCTTATAAAGACCTTTATTGGCATTGCAATTGGCCTTTTATAGCAGAATAATCCTGCTTTTTTCGACCTGAATCATGCTGCTGTGTTAATCAATATTTATATCAACTTCAATCTTCATCATATTTTAGAAGTTTTCATCCAAGTATGCTAGAGACAAACAGCCGATGTATCAATAGAAACTTTAAAATGCTTATAAAAACTTATCGAGTAATGCTGTGTCTATGTGGGACTTATATGAATTATGTATAATATGACCCTGACAAAGTGTAGAGGCACTTTATACCGTTATAAGGTTTTATATAGGAAAGTATTTTTCTATTATATCTGCTGTTATTCTTTTGCATTCAATGCCAATGGGCAAGGTATAAAAGACGAGGGTAAATGAATATTGAATTATATATTATAGGATATACTGTGCACTATTTTGCCATTATTATACTCGCGTGTAGACAAAATAGGAAAAGCATATTAGTTATCTAAATTCTATACTGTAGATTCCCTAACAATTTTTGTACCTTATACACTCCTTACTACCTAGTGTTTAATACAAACGATGAATTATACAATAATTTAACCTATTAAAAAAAAATATGCGATGTCTATAAACAATTTTTGAATCAATAAATCAACAGAGATTCAATGTCCATTTGGCTTGTATCTATTTATATAAAGCGTGTGCGCGAGAAGACCTCAAAGCTCAAAAGGAGCTACGACCTACCACAGTATTGTGTTGAAATTAACAAGTAAATCAATTCAAAGATAAATATACCGTTTCCAACTAACGCTAACGGCATATTATAAGAATATTATAAATATGTGAAGTGAACCAGAGGCAAAACAGAAACGTGTGAAATGAAAATGCGCCAGAGGCCTCGAGAGAACATTAAAACAATTTCAAAGCATACGATCATACGTTTTTATTGCTTGACTTCCTGACTTGTCTGTTGCTATAAAAATATGTTTAGCATGTTTTTTAAAATTTAAAAGCAAACAGGAACCAAATTTAGCAAGTATTTAAATTTCATATGATTCTCAAAGTTGATTGTACAGAACACTCTCACTCCTTGCAATCGAAGTGTAAAGTGCGGAAGTGGAAGCATGTAATTTGATACTTTGCGTACTCCCCCTTGGGCGATCAAATTTCCGCGTGCCACGTGACCAGCCCCAGCCAGGGTCTTTGCTTCCCAAGAGCAAAGAGCCTGGGAATGAGGTTGGTTTTCGATACGAGGATTCTAATGGTGGTATTGCTGTTTCGATAGCTTTCAATCGAGCGAAAATATAGCCCAACAAAGTTCAAGACATGTTTGTTGTGATCAACATCCGGTACGTTTTTTAAAAAATACATATCTTAATCATTTAAAAGACGATAAATCGCTTCAGTTGCATCCTAAGCAAATAAAATTACGTCTGATAGGAGATTTTGAAACAGCGGATCTAGCACTGGTATTTTCATCTACATAGCATGCACCCAACTGACGATATGACCCTGCAAAGTCATAAATCATGAGTGATTTATTTAATAGGGACCTGTCGGGAAAGACTATTTACATTATATATTTTAACTTTTTATTATCTATGTTTTAACTACTGGTATTTATAATTAAAAATATTTTTGGCTATATGTATTTGTATACACTATATTTAATAGCTATTTTAACTGTATTAACAGGACATATTTTAACTATTTATCTAATATGTTATTACTATTTTTTAACTATTTTTAATCTATTTGGGCAATATTATATCCACTATTTATTATCTATTTTTTAACAAGCTGGGATGTATTTTAACTATTTATTATCTATTTTTAAACTATATTATCACTATTTTTGAACTATTTATTATCTATTTTTAAACTATATTATCACTATTTTTTAACTATTTATTATCTATTTTTAAACTATATTATCACTATTTTTGAACTATTTATTATCTATTTTTAAACTATAATATCACTATTTTTAAACTATTTATTGACTATTTTAAACTTAGTTGAAACTCATTTCAGCTATTAAAAACATATTTTTTACCTATATTGTCACTATGTTTTAACTATTTCATACATATTTATTAACTATGTCGAAACTATATATTTTTAATAATTTCCTTAAATAGCTCTATTTTTATCATATTTGAAACCTATTTAATTTCTATTCGAGTACATCAATTAAGTATTTGTTTAGAAATGTATCATGAATAGGAAAAAAATATGGTTCCACTTGGATAGGAAAAAAATAGCCTTTCTACCCTAATTTAAATAGGAAAAACCTCGAAAAAAAATAATAGTAAAAATAGGAAATAAATACTTTGACAAATAGGAATTAAATAGCCCAATAAAATAAGAATTAAATAGGAATTAAATAGTGTTTGATTCTACAAGGGAATGGACTCGCACGCGTTCGCTAAAATCAAATTCTGACTGTCTTGTCTGTCTGACGGCTTACACAAATTTTCGAAGGAAGGCTCAATTCCGCATACTGTTTTTAGATTGCTGTTGCAAAGCCTGCATGTATTGTTAGCGCTTGCCTATTTCGCTTTTCTACCTGCTTTTTTACAAATGTTTTTGGCGTCAACACAGAAATACACACGCGCATTAAATATGATTATGCATAGTGTTTTGAAACCGGATCTGTCACTGGGAAAAAGTTGCGGCTAATCACTGATTGGCTGTTTTTTAATGGGCGGGACTTGGGCAGATATGAGAAAACATATGGCTTTCCTGCAGGCGCTATTTCTTTCTCGCCCCTTCCATTTTTCCTCGCTCTCTTTCTCTAGCCTTCGCATCCCCCCCCCTAGCTTTTCCCACCCTCGCCCCCCTAAATAGCGCCTGCTACGCAGGCTAAGTCAATCAGTTTATTCTTAACTTTTCTCATTGGATAAATTTAGTGCAATGATCGCCAACTTCAAATGTTTATAGTCAAGCTTTGGCACTGGACGGCATAACAAATTGCGTACTACTAGGAACATTTGCTTGTTTAAAAGAAAGTAGCAACAAAAACTTTTATCGTCTCAATAGAAATAACGTTTAAAATCATCTATAATATTTTGTTACAAATTTTTCGTATCAAGTTTAACTCTTGAAATACTTTGACTGAAAGCAATGAGCTGTCCGCTATCTTGGAATAATTTCTAACCTCATTAACTATCGTTTTGATGACGTCGGGAGTGGGATTAGCATTATAAAATTACTTTTAAGTTACAGAGTAATAATCAAAAGTTGTTTAAAATGTTTTTATTCAATTCGAAATTCGAAACAGCAGCCAAAATCTGGTTTCGGGCTCATATTGATCGTTGGCTGTCAAGATACAAAATTTTCTTGACCCCACTCAACATGCATATCCTCAATAATCCAAGATGGCGGACAGTTCATTGCTCTCAGTCAAAGCAAGATATGAAACATCTGTACCAAGATTATAGAGATAATTTTAAACGTTATTTCAAATGAGACAATAACATTTTTTCTTGTCATTATCCTTTAAAGGGCCCCACAGTCATTTTTTAGTCGAGAAGCCACCTTAAGTAGGGGACTCCACGGAGATTCGTTTGGCTGTATCTTACATGCAGTATCCATGAGTATGAGTACTTCCGCTCACCGGCAGACGCATGCATGCCGTGATGCGCATGTCAAGTAGCGACAATAACAAAAAATGTAAACAATATTTAAGGTGGCTTTTCGACTAAAAAACGACTGTTGGGCCCCTTTAAAGGAAAATGGCAACAAAAATTATATGTTTGCCTCTTTTGAAAGAATGTTGAGATTACTGACAAATCCTTTTTACAAATTCTCCCCAAACTATCTTAGTTTTTGAGATATTTGAAACTAAAACATCCTGCCATCCACCATCTTGTCTTGTAATTAGATCTAATTAAATGACGTCACAACCAGGGTAGACATTTTAGAAATAAAAAATATTATCAGAGGGAAGCTTATACATAGCTTGTGCTTTAAATTTAAAACATGTGTCTGGACCTTTACGCGCGGAAAAATGCACCACTTTCGGCTCAAAATTATAAGCTATAATGATAGATTTCGTCCTTCTTGTCTGGATCAAAATTTAGTCTATAGTACAGCTGGAATCATCCATTGATGAGAACTGCGATTCACCCATTAATTTTGAGCTGGTTAATATGTTGATGAGAGTCGATGAGAGTTTTGTTCGTCTCACCACAAATCATCAAGTCTCATCAACTATCGTGCAATTCGTGATCTTGTTTGACAACGACACGTCTATTTCGTCACCGTTTGATCCAACTCACATTGACATTTACAGTGCAGTATGCAATACCTTGCTTGCCTATACTCTTATGTGTCCTTGTCTGACCATGACGGCTTAATTCTGAAACTTTTCGAAGTTGACTTTCTCTTGAACAAGTTATTGTACTGTACGTTCATACAGTACCTACCTTTGTTCCAAATATTTGACTCTATCATCTTTCTGTGTGACCATCAATTTTAGCCTTTTATTGTTGTTTTCATGTTCCTCAAGCTCTGACATCTTGAAATAAAACAACACGCACAATATATAGTTTAATGATCACTGAAAGAGATATACTGTACTATATTTTCAAGAATTAGGCAGGTACTATATTTTCAAGACATTAGTCAGGTACTATATTTTCAAGAATTTAGTCCGGTACTATACTTTCAAGAATTTAGTCAGGTACTATATTTTCAAGAATTTAGCCAGGTACTGTATTTTCAAGAATTTAGTCAGGTACAATGTACCATATTTTCTATGGTTTACACTATCAAAGTCTTCGTAATCACAATGGGAATTATGCATCGGTAAATTATGCATTTGGTAAGAATTTGTAAGAAATGTTTGATGGAACTGATTCAAAGCCTTAATGAGCGGTTAAGCAAAATACAATTAACGAGAAAGCATTTGTATATACCAGCGTATAGAACACCGAAAAGTGTGTTGAAAAACGAGGCTCTAGCCGAGATTTTTCCACACACTTTGAGGTGTTTTATTCTCCTGTAATAACACACTTCTTCTTCTTCTTTTAAGAGAAAATCAAGGCAATAGCTGAATTAATTTATGGGCTTCTTTTACTGTAATATTACGATACGTTACTGGTCTCCTTTGTGTTTTACTCATGACTTATTAACGAGTTTGATAAAAGATTTAAAGAAATTCTTTAGTGTACGCTAACGTGCCAATACTCCAGTTCCAATAAACCTGTGAGAAATTTCGACTGTGTATTGTAATTGTGTACTTTTGAGACGAAATAATTAAATATGAGTTTAGCTGAATGCAGTTGGCTGGTTTAACTATGCATGCGAAAATATTTATTTGCCTGTTTTACAAACAACGACAATAATTTTGACTTGACCTCGTAGGTCAGTTGGTAGAACGTTTGACTATAACAAGCCAAAGGACTCGGGTTCCAATCCCACCGCGGTCAAGCAATTTCAGCTTGCCTGATGGAGACACTCAGAGTAATATCAGCAATGGGGATTCATGTTATTTTCCTTACAAACATAACTTTGCCATGCAGTGGCATCTTTGAATGGGTGATTCCAGCTATAGACTCAATTTTGATCAAGGCAAGAACGAAATGCATTACCATAGCTGGGAAGACCATCTTAAAATGAGTAAAATTGCAAAGCTTGTTTACGAATTGTTGTAAAAGGAGTAAAATATAGCCCTGTGAATCGCCAATTTTTGGGCCGAAAGTAGTCACTTTTACCGCGCGTAATACAAATATATACAAAATTTGTGAACTTCACAGGACTATATTTTCTTCACTTTGCAACATATTTTAGCAACCAATCTTTGCAGTTTTACTCATTCTGAGACGCTCTTTTCTAGCTGTGGTGTTGGATTTCGTTCTTCCTGCCTTGATCAAAATTTAGTCTATAACTGGAATCACCCATTGCCTTGGCATACTGTACCTATTATTCAACACTGTGGTTCGTTCTTCTTGATCGGTTAGCTTTTGCGTTAACCGCTCACATTGTCGACTTCTTTCTTTTCCTCTTCGCTGTCTAAAGCACCCCATAGTAAAATTTCTCTGGGTTCCTCATGTAATAACACTGGTATATAGTTACGAGAATCAGTAATGTCTATACTGTTCTTCATACAGGTCCAGCAAGGGATGTCTTGATTCATTAGGAAGAACAGTTGAGATAAAACTGATAAAGGTATTCATTAAATACGATTATTCGCAAGTTCAACAAAATCTACTTCAACATGTTACATATACTGGCTAAAATACGAGAATTGGAATAAATTAGCGTAACAGTTGATTTCATAACAAATGTTCTGAAATTTATTTAGCAATTTCGAAACTCACCTCAAACCTGGAAGTTGAACATGTATTATGAAATCCACAACAGCCTTGGAAACACAGCATATAATTGGTCAATAGGTTGCTAGTGGTGGCAGTTCAGTCAATCAGAGATTTTATTTCCAAAACACGCGAAATTGCCCGCAAACTTGACAATCAACTTGCTAACTTTGCAACGAAATTCGAAATTACGTTAACAAAGTTTTGTGAAATTAACTATAGACTGAACTTAGATTGAATAATCATCAATGTCTAAGGCAAGCGGCCCAGATGGCATTCCAGCAAGAATTCTAAAGGAATGTAGCCACCAAATCGCACCTAGCATTTGTGACCTGCTCAATCATTCGCTACGCACTGGGCGCCTTCCCTCCGAATGGAAATCAGCTGATGTTACACCCATTCACAAGAAAGACCTTAAAGAACCCGTTGAAAATTACAGACCGATTTCCCTCCTGCCTATCATCAGCAAAGTTTTGGAACGTTGTGTTTCCAGGAGATTCTACGATCACATCATTCACCTCATCACACCATCACAACATGGTTTTCTTAGAAACCGTTCGTGTATCACTCAGCTTGTCCAAGTTCTTCACTCTGTTGGTCAGTGTCTTGACAAAAACCTTCAGTCTGATATAATTTACCTTGATTTTGCCAAAGCTTTTGATTCTGTAGATCATCAAATACTTCTAAGAAAACTCAAGTCATATGGCGTTACAGGGCGTCTTCTCGACTGGTTTCGTAATTATTTAAGCGGACGTACCCAAAGAGTTGTTGTCGAAGGTGTCCCATCAAGCTGGGTTCCTGTTATCTCTGGCGTGCCACAAGGAAGTATCCTGGGTCCGATACTTTTTGCTGTCTTCATAAACGATCTTCCGGAAGTAATATCCAATGGCTCTCCGGAAGCTATGTATGCTGATGATACAAAATTGTTTAGAAACATCAACTCTACAACTGACGGTGATTGTCTACAAGAATCTTTATCCAACCTCGATAAGTGGAGCCATGATAATAACATCAAGTTCAACGCATTAAAATGTAAGGTTTTGAGCGTGACTCGAAAGAAATATCCCGTGACTTACAACTATCATCTGGGTTCATCTTCGTTGCTTCGTGTCCGGAAATAAAAAGATCTCGGCATCATCGTGACAGACAATCTCTTGTGGAACTCGCATATTCAAATGATAACAGCTAAAGCTAACAAGATGCTTGGTCTCCTAAAGAGAACTTGTCCTTTATTGACGGAAACCAAAATCCGGCGTTCATTATACATATCGCTTGTAAAGTCGAAGTTATGCTATGGTACTGAAATTTGGTCTCCATCCAATGTCTCCCTCAAAGTCAAGATCGAAAGAATACAACGACGCGCGACAAGATGGATCCTAAGATCAAGAATAGGTGAGATATCATACCAGGAGAGACTTCAGAAATCCAAGACTTGGTCTTCTTCTATAAGGCACTATACGGTTACGTAGACTTAGATATAGGCAATTATGTTAGTTTTGTTAGTCATGATCGTTCTCGACTAACCTTAAATCCTAGTCTATTACTTCAAGTGCCGTTATGTAGAACAACTACGTTTAAAAACTCATACTTTAATCGAACAGTTCATTTATGGAATGTAGTGTGCAGAACTGCATCACCTAATAGCTTCGTGACATTATTTACTTTTAAGAACTTTCTTCGTCGGACTTATTCGTTTTTACGTAATTCAGTTTTTTACGTAGACATGCCATGTACCTGGTCTCTTGTTCGAGACTGTCCATGTCACAGAAACTAAAATAATGTATAGTTCTTTGATTGAAGTAAAGTTCGTTTCGTGTACATGCCCAAGTCACATGTTTTCAAAACCAAGTTAGTTTTATTTTCCGTACAATTTTTCCAAAATCTACATGCATTTTACGTATTTGGAGATCCTGTGGGTATGCGCAAATCGAGCTTTACCTCAACTATAATTTATAGTGTAATGTAATTTTTTGTGTAAAGTTTGTAAGGGAGGTGCCTCGCATGGGCTTTTTCTGACCCGTTTGCACCTTTCCTTTTGGGAAACACCCATTTATCGTTATTGTTAGTATTCCCAATAAAGTTATAAAAGAATAAAAGAAATGTAGTTTTCCTGGAAATTAAATTATAACAAGTACGTTTTCACAACTTTGAAACGAACTCACTTCTGTTCCATAGCACGTATCTTTTCTTCTTTTTGTTGGATTATTTGCTTCATTTTCTGATTATGACTCGTTACCTCTTCTAGTTCAAGAACATTAGATGAAATTCAAATATTATTTCTCATTGTGAAATGATTAAAATTTAATTGTCTAAAAGCCACACATCTCAACAGGTGGGAAATTTGTCTGAGCATGCGCGGGCAAAATGAGCCACGCAATTGCGTGGAATACACGCAACGCGTGTTTACAAAAAAGCACAATCGTGTAAATATTGCCAAATGTTTGTACAAAATAAATTACTGTTTTATGTTGAAAATGGATATGAACACAATAGGCCCTTTCAAGGTTTATTCCGCCATATTGCCGGGGGTGCAAAACATTGGGGCAAGCGCTCGGCCAAGCCATGGCTGCCATATATTTAACTAATGAGTGAGCGATAATTTTGTGTGGAAGTTTTTTGATTTTCTCATGCTATGTTAAAAGATAGTCCACACTTTTGTATTCTGACTGATCTGTGTGTATTTTCAAAGTGCTGGTAAAGATTTCAATGGAATCTGATTGGGGGAAATCCGTAAATATGCTGATTTCTTCAACACCTTTCGGCGAGCTGTTTGCAGTGGATTCACGACAACGAAACGCCGAAAACAGGGCTTTTATGTCTGTGTTTGTTTAAACAAAACAACATTACAAAAGAATCGTATTTAAAAACAATACAACAAAGCTGTCGGGAAAGAAGAAAGACGTTCAGGTGCGAGAGTGTAACCTGATACCAATGTCAATCTCACCTTTATATCACATGGATATATTAGAGATAAACTTATAAAAGTAAGCGAATCCAAAGGGTATATATTGAGAGATATTGAGAGTTTGAGTTGTTTATATTTTATGTTCTCATAAAAGATTATATTGCAAATAGTCATTTTATGTTTATGGCTACAAAGGAGAGGCTTGAATACAAGGATTTCGTTGGGTTGAGTCCGGTTGACAGAGTGGGAAAAGGTTGAACTTATTGCTCCAAAGAAATTTATACAGGAACAAATTTTTGATAGTATTAATTAAGAAGGAATACCAACAAAGGCTACAAACGAATGATATTATTAAGAGCGATCCTAACACTCTGTGCAATGAATATTCGAAAGATGACATTCAAACATGGCCACATCTTGATGATGGAATGCTACATTCGACGAGTAAATGCAGTGAATGTTGAATATATTTGCAAATACAAAGATGAGAGGGCCTACTCATTATGGATGAGTGGATTTGTTGATATAATTTATGTTGCCAAGTGCCTCATTGACAAGACCATGACATTTTTTGTAAAGCTCAGTATGTCCATCACAAAGGATTTGTGATGACTCACATTCTTGAACAGCTGGAACAGTTGAGACATGTAATCATGTACTTGCAGTCCTGTATATATAAGATCAACTATGCTTACAACAACCAATATATTTCCCCTGCATGTGTGCCTGTACCAGTGTTCCCCAAGGATGGAACAAAGGAACATGAAAAGAAGTAAATCCAAGCAAGGTTAAAAATTTAATATTTAGACCGAACTCCTGGCTGCGATTAAACATTGAGGAAAGAATTTGACCCCAGAAAACCTGAGGACAGAAATATTACTAATGAAAGAGTTTCTTTATCATTTATTTATTTAGTTTTAATTTTTCTCCTTTATGTACAGTTCCATAGAGAATATTTACATATTTTTCCTTATATTAATTTGGGCTAAAGACCTACTAGGTACCTTGTCAGGCTTTTTGCTTTAGGCCCCTAGTAAAGGTTTATAGTTAACTGTTAGATTTATAATATATTATCCTATTTTACAGTCAAATCAGAGAGAGAATTTTCAGAGTAATAGAGGAACAATAATATGCAAATAGAATGTTTTCATAAAAAATGCTGCTTAATTTGTTTTTTGAAGATGTATTGTATGTCTTTATTTTTTATTCTAGTGAGTTCCATACATCAACTCCATTATTTAGAGAGAATATGTTTTACATAATTTGTTTCTTTATACCACTTTTAAAGTTTTGATCAGTTTCTTGTGCTGCTTTGATGAATTTGATTGATACTCACAAAAATTTATCAAAACTTCAGGCAGGTTTTTAAGATTATTGAACAGCATTGTAGATACTGTTCCTTCTGCTTAATGTGTTTTGCCCTCATGCAGTTGGCTATGGGAGTGGTTCTGACAATGAGAACAACTGACACTCTCAATATCTCTTAATATTATATACCCTTTGGATTCGCTTACTTTTAGAAATTTATCTCCTATATCTAGTTACTAATAGTATGTCATATAATTAAAAAGGTGAGATTGACATTGGTGTCAGGTTACACTCTCGCACCTGGACGTCTTTATTCTTTCCCGACAGCTTTGTTGTATTGTTTTTAAACATGATTCTTCTGTAATTTTGATTTGTTTAAACAAATACAGACAAAAAAGCCCTGTTTTCGGCGTTTCGTGGTCGTAAATCCACTGTAAACAGCTCGCCGAAAGGTGTCGAAGAAATCAGCATACTTACGGATTTTCCCCAATCAGATTCCATTGAAATCTTTACCAGTACTTTGAAAATACACACAGATCAGTCAGAATACAAAAGTTTGGACTATCTTTTAATATAGCATGAGAAAATCAACAAAATCCACACAATATAATCGCTCACTCATTAGTAAAATATATGGCAGCCATGGCTTGGCCGCGCGCTCTCCCCAATGTTTGGCACCCCCGGCAATATGGCGGAATAAACCTTGAAAGGGCCTATTAAAGACGGGTTACAGTCCGTGCTGCGCATGTGCGATTCTTTTTGTTTTGGTAGACTACTTATCTCTCGTTTCCATGGTTTCCAGTTCGATTGCGTAATATACGCGCGATTCTATATTTGTTGATACAAGGAGTGGGAATACACAGTTTCGAAGAGATTTTCAACGATTTGTGACTTTTATGAAATGAAATCCGATTATTAACAAATCATTGAAACAATATGAGAAGAAGTAAAGAATATTACGCCAACAAGGGTGCCTTTAAAGTGTGTTTATTTGAAATTCAGTCAAGCGCTTCGCCGTCGAACATATAAAGGTAAATATTTGTTTATTCATTTGATTATTTCGTTCTCCAGAGTCGAGACTGGATCTCTAATTCGCTGTGAATTTGTGACAATTTTTAAGCTAGGGCAATTACATCCATTTACTGTCTGAGAAAATATGGGATCTCTGAATTTTATAGTTCAACCTGTTCAAGACATGGATAGACTAATATAGTACTTGAAATCTAATTTAATCACCTTGACAGTACTAGATTCAGTCAAGGATAAAACTGATTTCATCTTTATATGGCGAGCTGTTATCAAAATGCTACTGGGATTGAGTTATTGGATGATTATTGTTTTGTAATTCATAATCAGGCGTCTCCAGATGAACTTTTTGGTAGCAGCATATATCTTTTTACATCGGACATGATTGTACTGTATGTTGGTTTTCACATGGGACCCAGTCCTGCTGACCATACATTCAATCATTGTTGTCTATTTTATAGCACTTTTGTGTGATTGCATATTAAAATTAATATCACTACTGCACTGGACAAAAATGCACTATGTTGAATGACATGGCATGATTGTTTGTGAACCTTCAAAAATGCATAGTGTAATCTTTATAAAGGGTATACCCCATGTAAATCTTTTTTTTTTAAACATTGATACTGTAGGTTCTCATTCATGGAAAAATTGAGGACAATTTGCACATCACCACCACCATATTCATGGCTACACCCACCAAAATCTGGACAGCTGCAACTGTAGACATTGTGTTCCCCATGCCAACAGGAAGAAAATATGTGCTCTGTTAGATCAAGATAACTTTGTATATGTAGAATACTGTTGTTCCAAGAAATTGTTTCGAGTCAGATGTTCTAAACATTGCCATTAACCCTTACTCACACTAGCAATTTTCTTGGC